CCCTGAATATTTGAAATAAGTTTAAATTGATGTTATTCATTTATTGATCAATATTAATTGAGTACCTGTGATGTGCCAGGCCCTGTGTTAAGGCACATACAGCAATCAACAAGACAAATGTAGACCTCATGAGAAAAAAAAAGTATTTTGAACTTTACGTTTCCCAAAACATGGTCACACACATTACTTTATTTAATCCTTTAAGAAAGCAAGGAAGTAAGTACCGAATTTTTTCTACAATGTTCTGTGCAGTGATAATTTTAGAACCTCTTTCTGCGTGTAGGACTCTTTGACCCACTGGTGGCTATAGATTGCTCTGCTCTTCAGGTCTTGTATGTGTTGTGTGTGTGTGTGTGTGTGTGTGTGTGTAAGTTGTGTTGGTCTTTGCTCCTGTTGTCAGATTATACCCTCTAGTACCTACTGCTATCCATGTATGCTGTGTCTTCTTAATCTCATTTTGTGCTAATTGAGGCAGCTACAGGCTTAGACTAGATACCAAACTTCTAAGAATGCTTATAAGTGGTAGACACTTAGAAAAAGAACTGTGAGAGCCTCTTTTATGAATAAGTTTTTTGAGCTGTGTTGCTCTTATGTATTTTGTGATGGCCTTTGGAAGCTTAATTTCTGCTGCTCAACAGCGTTCCAGGTGAAGTTGCAGGAGAGCTGAATTCTACATATTGCTTTTCCGATAGTCTTGAAACAAGTTGCAACCAACATTATCTGAATTTTATGGGGCTAAAACCTAGCTTCATATTTCTTCCTAACATTACTGATTATTTTCTATGCTCTGTTGTTGTTAAGGAGCCCTGGTGACTCAGTAGGTAAGAGCTTGGCTGCTAACCGAAAGGTCAGCAGTTTGAATCCACCAGCAGCTCTTTGGAAACCCTATGGGGCAGTTCTACTATGTCCCTTAGGGTGGCTGTGAGTTGGAATCCACTTGATGGCAATGAGTTTGAGTTTTTTTGGTTGTTGTTAGGTGTCATTGAGTTAGTTCCAACTCATAGCGACCTTATGTACAACAGAACAAAACACTGCCCTGTCCTGCACCATCCGCATAGTCGTTATGCTTGAGCTCATTGTTGCAGCCACTGTGTCAGTCCATCTCATTGAGGCTCTTCCTCTCTTTCACTGACCCTCTGCTTTACCAAGCATGGTGTCCTTCTCCAGGGTCTGGTCCCTCCTTGTAACATGTCCAAAGTATGTGAGACAAAGTCTTGCCATTCTTGCCTCTAAGGAGCATTCTGGCTGTACATCTTCCAGGACAGATTTGTTCATTCTTTTGGCAGTCCATGGTATATTCAATATTCTTCCCCGACACCAAAATTCAAAGGCATCAATTCTTTGGTCTTCCTTATTCATTATCCAGCTTTTGCATGCATACGAGGAAATTGAAAATACCATGGCTTGGGTCAGGCGTACCTTAGTCCTTAAAGTGACATCTTTGCATTTTAACACTGTAAAGAGGTCTCTTGCAGCAGATTAGCCCAGTGCAATACGTCATTTGATTTCTTGACTGCTGCTTCTATTGACGTTGATTGTGGATCCAAGTAAAATGTAATCTTTGACAACGTTAATATTTTTTGCATTTATGATGACGTTGCTTATTGGTCGTGTTGTGAGGATTTTTGTTTTCTTTATGTTGAGGTGTAATCCATACTGAGAGCTGTAGTCCTTGATCTTCATCAGTAAGTGGTTCAAGTCCTCTTCACTTTTGGCAAGCAAGGCTATGTCGTCTGCATATCACAGGTTGTTAATGAATCTTCCTCCAATCCTGATGCCGCATTCTTCTTCATATAGTCCAACTTCTTGGATTATTTGCTCAGCATACAGATTGATTAAGTATGGTGAAAGGATACAACACTGATGCACACTTTTCCTGATTTAAACCATGCAGTATCCCCTTCTTCTGTCCAAATGACTGCCTATGTACAGGTTCCACATGAACACAGTTAAGTGTTCTGGAATTCCCATTCTTTGTAATGTTATCCATAATTTGTTATGATCCACACACTCAAATGCCTTTGCATAGTCAATAAAACACAGGTAAACATCTTTCTGGTATTCTCTGCTTCCAGCCAGGATCCATCTAACATCAGCAGTGATATCCCTTGTTCCACGTCCTCTTAATACAGCTTGAATTTCTGGCAGTTCCTTGTTGATGTACTGCTGCAACCGCCTTTGACCTTCAGCAAAATTTTAGTTGTGTGTGATATTAATGATATTGTTTACTATGCTCTAGGCACTCTATTTTAAACACCCTTTATATGTTAAACAATCCAATGAGGCAGGAATATTTTGCTGCCACTTTATAGGTGAGGAAACTGAGGCTTTAGAAAGGTTTATTTGCCCAGAATGACACACTGATGGAACCCAGGTCTCTCTATTCCAGAGCCTGATCTTTCAACTCCTCCAACATTTGCTTCCTTTTAGAAATTCAAAGAAAGCAGCTACACTTCTCATATCAAGCTGATTCCTTGAGGAATGCTGGAAGATTGGGTCCCAAAAGCCCACGTGCTTACCTTGCTTAACAGATCATCTCTAACAATTTCACAACAGATTAGTAGGTAAGCACAAGTAAGCCTGTGCTTACCTTGCTTACTGGGTCATCCTACCCTGTCAGGGATTGTAAATTTGAAAAGAGATTTTGATTCTGTAGGAAGGTGCTGTGGGGTTGGGAGAGAGACAGATGCCAGCCATACCTAGAACCAGAATCTTTGATGTGGTGAAAAAATGTGAAATTGTTCACTCCAGATAATCTGGTAAGCAAGGTAAGCCCTATACTTACCTTGCCTCTTTTTTATTATCTTGATGAATTTATCCAGGGTTTGGCCCTCAGGTTTGCAGGTTCAAACCTTGATGTATTAGCCCACCTAACATAGATCAGTGTCTTAGGGATAAACTCACATTAACCAGACTTACAAGACTATTGGGTAAAATCAGAATGCCAATTAGTTTTTCTTCTGTAATGATTAATTACAAATGTCACATGGACATGTTTATATGAATAGTGCATTTTCTTCCTCTAGAGAGCTAAGAAGGACATATCAAAGTCTGAAGGATGTTTCATGAGTATGGTGTCAGAACAAGTGGACTTTGTTTGATGTTTCACATATGTAACAGCATCAGATTTTGATAACCCATTACATCATAGTCACTATTAAAGCCAGTAGTCTTTAACTCTGTTTTCACAATAGGAGCAATCTTGCCATTGGGACCAGAATTTGGTTCATATTTAATGATTAATATTATAAATTCCTAAGATGGAAGAGGCCTTAGACATCATCTGCTCTTACACCTTTAATTTGCAGATGAGTAAACTGAGATTCAGAGAGGATAATTTGCTTAATCAATTTGTTGATTGATCAAACAAGGACCCCTGAGTACTTGGTTTGTGCTCTTACATGATTCCTCGTTGCCTGCGTGAGTTTTCATGCCTCTGCAATAACATTCTACCAGGAGAGTGAGTTACATGGTGGGGAAAAAGAGAGCCTCTATCTTGGCTTCTAGACTGGCTGGCTTTCTATGACAGTCGCCTTTTGTGAGAAATAATTTACAATTTTACTTTGGCAAAGTGACTTGATTAAAAATGTAGATAGGAAGATCTACCATTCTGGCTTTTCCCTTCTTCAAAACAGGCTAAAATATTCTGTGCCTTTTTCCCATTGGTACAAATGAGATGCTTTGTCTGTATATCTTTGCTTTGCTATGTTAAATAGCTGTGTAGGTGGCTAATGAATAATTAATTGCTAAACGCTGATATATAAGGTTAAATAAACTAGAGTGGTGGATCAAGGAGTTCTAGGCTTTAGGAGAACACTTGTTTTCAGATAGAAGAAGAAAGTATTAATAGTTAAAGGGAAGTTAAGTAGCAGAAGCAGTTATGAGTAATATTACTGAGTGATTATTATGCACCAGGCATTGTGCTAAGTTCTTACATGTGTTCTTACCTACCCTTCACTCCATCCAGCAGTTATCATTATTATCCCTATTTTGAGATGAGGGAACTGAAATGTAACGAGACTAAGTAACCTTTCCAAGATCACCCAACTAGTAAGTGGTAGAGTCAGGATTGGAACCAAATGTTTCTAATTCCAAAGCTAGGGCTGTTAATAATTACATTATAATTCCATTAAAGAATTTTCTCTAGGGATCTTAGAGACTTGTAGCTCTAAGCCAAGCAAATTGGATTTAAATTGCCTTTCTGACTAAACCAGCATAGGAATTGAAGAGCTAACAGGACTTGGGGAGTTCTCTGTTGCTTCAGGGACAGAAGCAAGATAGACCAGAATAATTACATAGGCTTCTCAGACAGTCACAGACAGGAAGCATGCTGGACTAGGACTAAGGAAACTCTAACACTATTTTATCTATTTCATTGGAAAGGGTTGAATTCTTTACCTACTCAGCACACCTGTGTGTGTCTACCTTTTTGTAGAAAATCCGAATTACTACTCCTTTGGTTAAGGTGGTTTTACTGCACTGGAGAGACCTGATGGGAGAGTGTGTTGTTGTTGAGTAGTAACTGGAGAAGAATCTTCAGGTAGTAAAAGGAAAGTGATGAGGAAGGCTAGGAACTTAAGTTATCTTGCTGAATTTTCTCTTTCCTTTTGCTAACACACACACAATCATAGTAACTCTACTTCTTTACATACTGACTTTGAACTCCCCATTTAAAGCATGCTTTACTTTAAAGCTGTCAATGTTTCTGTTCCCCTTCATTGGTGTGAAGAATTAAAAAGATGATTGTCTACGATTAGCTGCTTTTGTTCACGTAATTTTCTTGATACTTTCACTCTAATATAACAGGAATTAAATTACATGAACCTGTACCAGCTAGCCATAAAAGTAAAAGCATGATTTGTTGTAAGTAAACTAAAAGAAACAAATTTACGTGTGAATAATCACATTCTGACAATTCTGGTTTTGACAATTTGAGCCCGTGTTTTACCAGTATTCTTTCAAATTGTCCGTGTTTCTCTTTTAAAATATGTTTGCTTTAGTATTCATCATCTGGAGAAAAACTAAAATACCAGCAGCAAGACGAACTACAACAACTTCGCCAGAATTTGCACCGGCTCCAGAATCTGTGCAACTCAGCTGAAAAGGAGCTTCGATATGAACGAGGAAAGAACTTGGACTTAAAGCAACATAATAGCTTACTTCAGGAAGAAAGCATTAAGGTAATTCTAGCAGGCACATTATTGATGGGTTGTAATGTGGTAGTGGTAGTGTTAGACCTCATCTAACTTCAGGGAGAATAAGAATTACCATCAGGATCAGCCCAAAGTTGATTCCTATGAGATGGAAGTTAGACGTACCTTCTCTCTCCAACCTTTACCAATTCTGACGCCAGCTGTACTCCCCACGGCACTCTCTACTTCTCTGCTGGGTTGTCTAATTCGTTGCAATAGCCACACAGATCTCACACACCATACTCACAGTTATATGTTTTATTAGGGAAGTAACATGGGATCAGGATTAATTTAGAAGTAACAGGAACAGGATCAATGTCAGGAAGCACACAGGCAAGGTCTGGAAGTCTCCCCCAAAGTGAAGAGCACATCCTTCTCTTTAGTGTAGGACATCTCTCTCTCTGTCGGCTGTGCATGTCCCCCCAGTACAGGCCTTCTCTTAGCTCCCTTAAGACAGGCCTCCTCTTGGTCATACACACCCACTCTCCACAGTGCACACCCACTGTCCACCATGCACATCCCCCTCAGGACAAGCCTCCTCTGACCCCCTTAGGAGAGGCCTCTTCTCAGCCCCTCCTCTGCTCAGGCAAGTGCTACAGTTGTTTTAGCTCTGCCAACAAGTGCCTGGAGGCACCCTACTCCGCCAGCAAGCCTCCTGCCCAGAAGTGCTCAGCTGTCTCTCACTGTGTGGGGTGGCAAGCCCACTGTAGCTGCCTCACTCCTTAGGCTAGGAAGCCCACTGCACTGTCTTATGCTAATCTCCTGGTTCTGCTGCCACTATTTCTCGCTGTCTTGTGCCATCTCCAGTGTTACACTTCTCTGTCTCCTGGCTCTAGGAGGTTCTTAGTACAGAGACTCTGGGTCCAAAGGACTCACTCTGCTCCAGACTCTTCTTGATGGTAATGAGGTCCCCACTCAACCTCTGTTGGCTGTTTATATAGGCAAGTGGCTATATAGATTGCTCAATCCTGTTGGGCAGATTTTACACACCTTATTTGCATAGTAGACTCACCAGTCCCCTCACTGGACTAAACTGACCAATCCCCTTGGAAGTGACTCCATCTGTTTGCATAGTAACTGATGTTTTCTGCTGGCAGGGACTGGCTTCTTCCTGGGCAAAAGTAGCAAGCTTCTCCAGTAGACTAGGGAAACTGTAACAACTCCTTAGTGCCCAGGGGAAAAGTCTCCCAAGCCATTTTCTTTTTCTCCCTTTTTTTAAAGAACAAAGGCAAAAGGCTACGTAAAAGAACTTATTTCACCAGAGGGTCTCAGTTGGCCCTGGAGATAAATGAATCAGAAATCCCTCAACTTTATGATTCATGATGGGGTCCGTAGATGGGTGTTATTAACAATGTGGGCTGTCTAGTAACTTCCACCTTTAACTTTCCCCTACTAAATAGGTACAGAGTTTAGTTGTCTCTGCTGCTGAATGGGTGTGTGTTCTGTCAACCTGTAAATATAAAAAGTTTTCAAATGATGTAATCTTTTGAAATCATTATTTAAAATTTTTAGCACTTACTAAATTTCAGTGACCTGAGCCAAAACCTTGACTGTCCTGCCCTCGTTGTATCTGTAAATTTATTTATCCCTAATAGATATATCCATTATTATTAGTTAAATATCAACTGCACTAAGGTACAATTTATGGGAGGCTAAAGTTTTCTTCCTGACATGAGAGGATCAAAAAATTAGGAGGACAACCCCCAAACATGCTTGTTTTAAATAATCTACATAAAATTCATCTGAATTTTATGAACCATATAAATTTTCAGACTGAACCACCATGTAAAATAGTGCTTCCTTTAAATTTTAGTTCAATTCTGTAAATCCATTAGGGACTTAGTTTCTGTAAGCCCCTATCTAACCAATTAAAAAAAAAACAGTTGCCATTGAGTTGACTCCAACCCATTGCAACTCTGTGTTTCAGAATAGGACTGCACTCCACAGGGTTTTCAATGGCTGATTTTTGGAAGTAGATCACCAGGCTTTTCTTCCGAGGTGCCTCTGGGTAGATTCAAACAGTAAACCTTTCGGTTAGTAGCCGAACACTTAACCATTTAATGTTCTGGAATTCAGCATTCAACAAATATTTACTGAGCATCAATCATATGCCAGGCAAGCAATCTTCTCAACACTGAGGGTTTAATGGTAGACAAAACAGACACAGTCCTTACCTCCACAGAGCTTATAGTCTAGTGCATGAGGTAGCAAACTTTGTTTTGGCCCATGGGTCAAATTCTGTCTGCTCCTGATTTTGTTAATAAAGTTTTATTTGTGGCACACAACCATACCCATTTGTTTGCATATTGTCTATGGCTGCTTTTGCCCTACAATGGCAGGGTTAAGTAGTTGCAATAGAGACCATATGGCCACAAAGTCTAGATATTTATTCTCTAGCACTATATGGAAAAAGTTGGCCCACCTCTGGTCTAGTGGGATAAATGGACCTTATTTGAAGAGTAACATAAAAATCAAAATGGTCCCTGCCTTTCAGAAACTCAGACTAGTAGAGGAGAAACAGAAGAAAAGAAACACTTATTTTTCTCAAACTTCAAGGGAAACCCTTCTAGGGAGTTCTGGTATTCCAGGATTATTAGAATAAACCTCTTTCCTATCTTCACCCTTCATTATTTTTTGAATATTGGTCAAATTCCCTCAACCCTTTGCAGTTTTTAATTAAATTCTAAATCTTTATCACATTTTCTCATAAGACAGCCTTTCACCTTCCCCTTCAAACACATTTCTTAGATCATTTTAACTGTCCAACTGTGAATGTTCTCTAGCAATACTACATCTTTCTTAAGGTGCAATGACTGGAACTACACAGATTATGCCTTCCTTACACGTGATTAGCGCCCTAAAATTTTTGTTGAATTAAGGAAAAGAGTCTTTCAGGGATGGGAAACCATGTCTTAGTAAAAGAAGATATTTTTTGTTCTGTTTTAAATCTCCTTCATGGCAGAGTAAATTATTGGCTATTTCTGTAATGAAACATCAGCGTCTTGGCTGGCCCCTTAGGTCAGGCACCTTAGAAGGATCATATGCAATAGCTACCTTTTATTGACAGTTTGTCACTTCATCTCATATAAATCTCCTCTCAACCCTGGGGTTGGCATTTTATAGATAGAGAAACTGTTCAAGGTTGCAAAGCTGACAAATTGTGGAGTCAGAGTTAAAACCCAGGTCTGTTTCTCTCTCTTCTGGATAGAGTCATCTGTTACATTACACCACTCCTCAATTTGGGGTCATTTTTGAACCTCAGCTTTGCAAACTTAGGGCTCACTTTTTAAAATCCACTCAGAGGTGATCAAGTTTTGGTTCTCTGACTAATGTTAGGCATATTTATGAGACTGATTAGGAAACTAGAATACTGATTTATTAATTTTTAATCATTTTATTATGAAATATAACACTCAAAAAGTGCATAAAACATAAATGTATGGTTTAAAGTATTGTTGTAAAGTGAGTATCTATGTAACCACCACCCAGAACTGGAAATGACACTTTACTAGCATGCCAATGTCCTCTTTCATGCCTCTTTCCTATCATAATCTTATCTCCTTCCCACGTTAGCAGTAACCACTAGTTTTATAATACCTTTCTTGCTTTACTTTATAGTTTTACCACCTATATATAAATCCCAAACAATATAGTTCAGTTTTGCCTATTTTTGAGTGTTTTATAAATATAATCAATCACTATATACACCTTGTGTCTGTCTTCTTTTGCTCGACTTTGTTTGCAAGATTCATCTGTGCTGTTGTGTGTAGCCATAGTTAATTAGTTTTCTTTGCAGTATAGTACTCCATTGTAAGAAAATGCCACAATTTATTCTTTCTATAGTTTATGAACATTTGGCCTGTTTCCAGTTTGAGTATATTAAAAAGAATGGTATAGACTTGCAGAGCTTCAGACCGAGTGCAGCCCTGCCACTACCAACACTGAGACGCTGTATTGGATCCTCTTCTTCGTGCTCAAGTGTCTCAACCTAAAGCTGAAAAAGTGATCCTGGGTACACAAGCTGTCAGCCATGAGGGTGTTTGCTCCAGTAACACATGATATTATTGTCAAAATGCTAAGTGTTGGCTGTATGACTGATGATCACAGGCCCCAGAGGCCTTTAGCTTTTTTGGCTGTGGAGTAAATGGACAACATATTATGGAAGGACTTGTATCCAGCGTTCTGTTACAATGAGAAGTTTAGGTTTCATAATCCTGAACTAATCTCAATGCCTCAAATATTCCAACACTCAGTAGATTTCTTTTTCTATTCATTGGAGTTTTCTGTGTCTTATTGAGTTTTTTCATGGCTAGATTATTCTTGAAAAATGAAACTTCTAGGCTGTCTGAAGATTAGAGGGCCTTTTGAGAAGAAATCAACAGTTGCTAGATTTGCTTCGTCAATAAAGTTGCTAAGACTGTACCAATCCTCCAAGATAAAATGAGAAGAATGAACTGGTTTAGAAGAGCAGGGTAAAGAAGGGGTTTCCAAAGGAGAAATAGAAAGCTTATTAAAGCTTAATCTAGAATTTCTTTTAGCTAATATCAAAGAGACAAGTTTAGTACAGTACTTTTTTCTGTTGACCTACACTGACCTACCAATGATATCAAGGCATTTTGCTCTTAGGGTTTTATTTCTAAAAGAAAACATTCTTCATTTCTACATATGTTAATTTCTATTCCATTTAAGAAAATGTTTGATTATTTTTACATGCCCTTAACATTTTTTGGAGACAGGATTTCTGGTTTTCAAAAATGAATGCAAAATCAGGAAGTGAGGTCTCCTAAATTGAGCACTCTGCACAGTTGAGCAGCTTTACCCAAGGAGCTCTGCCTTTACAGAGTTTATCAGTACATCATTTCAGATATGTTCATCTAATGAATGTAAGAACCCTTTCCTGAATAGTAAAATGTACGAAAGGAGTTGAAGTAATGTTTCTGCTTCAAAAAAAAAAAAAAAACTGCTGTGAATTCATTTACATGTATCTT